CACGCCCAGTCTCAATTGCTGTCTCAGCATGCCCTGGGGATGGGGCCAGAACAGCAGGCTGGGGATAGAGATTCCAATCTTAAGGGCAGGAAAAATGGTTCTGGCTTGTTTTTAAGGATCACTCAAGGCCGCTGTGCTGTGAACAGATATGGAACTGATGCCAGAAGAGGGGAGCCCGTTTAGAGGTCATGTGCAAGGTCAAGATCATTCCTCTGCTACGTGTCTATGGAGCAATTCCTGAGAGCAGTGTGGTAGACTTGTTTAGGAGCTCAGAGTGGGGCACTAAACAAAATCAGCTTCCTCTTTTAGAGCAGTTTGCTTTCGACTGGGAGGAGACCAAGTATTAAATAAACAAATAGAAATCCAGTTAATTTCCTGTAGGATAAATGGTACCAAGAAGAGGGAACAGGCGATGTGTTCTAATGGCTTCCCTGTTTTCTCCCTGTGGGGACAGAGACCCATCCTGGAACCCCCCTACATTGAAGCGCATCATCGAGTCTGCACCTACAACGAGACCAGACGGGTGACTGTCAAGCTGCCTCAATGTGCCCCTGGGGTCGACCCCTTCTATACCTACCCTGTGGCTGTCCGCTGTGACTGTGGGGCCTGCTCCACGGCCACCACGGAGTGTGAGACCCTCTGAAGCGACTGCGGCCCACCCCATGCAGCTAGCGGTCAGGAGCGTCACGGACCCAGCTACCATGCAGCTTAAGCTGCGACACCCCTGGCCTGAAGGGTGCTTATATCCGCCGGGCCTGTGGAGGACGTGGCCTGTCTCCCTGCTGTCCAGTTTAGGTACGGGGCCCAGGGGCAGCACACCTATGCTAAAAATACAAAACAACATCTGAGCTTTCACCAAGATAATTTCTCTTGCTCACACATTACAAGTTAGTTTTCCTTTGCCTTGCTTGAGTCCTGGGCCACAATTTGTATATTATGTCCTCTTGCACCCCTTGATACAGACTGTTGATATACCGAAGCTCAAACGCTTTGGGTCTGTGTAGGAAGCGGGGCTAAAAAGTCTAAAAAATTCCACATTCTAGTTAGCCACTGATCTCCAGCTAGATTTACGGTGGGAAGGCTCCAAAGGTTCAAAGCCAACACACATGTGTTCCCCACTTGAAAGGAAATCCAACTGCATGCTTCCTTCAAGAAAATTCTCCATTTCCCTTATCGTTGGGTAATTATCCTCACAAGAACCAGAGACTGATAGAGAAGGGAGCTGACGAAGAGACTGTCTCAAAGCAAAATGTGCTTGGATTTGCCTAGTTCATTCCCAAGAGGGGAAAAATCCTGAAATTCCCTTGAGATCTGTAATACAGAAACTACTTTGTCATAAAACAAATGAACAAGTGCAGAAGATATATGAAACCAGGAGGTATCATCTTGGCTTAAAAACGTCTGAAACAAAACTCATGTTTTTAGAGTGGTATTCTCACAAAGATACTGTAAAACGGTCCATTTAAAACACTGTTCTCTATTTAGCACCTTTTAAATTTAAATCATAATCTCAGAAAGTTAACGTATCTGTAAGGGTGAAGCTGAGCTGCCAGCTCAGAGGGGAAAAGCCTGTGTTGTCTACAGCTCCTGGCCCCTACCTCTCCCTGTATCTTGCAGCTGCTGATTCCATGGCTTAGAAACAGAACAAAACAAAACTCTAGTTTTATGCAAATGTCTTTGATTCTGGGGTTGGATGTAACCTTGTTCATTTTCATAATGTGCCAGCAAAATCTATATTAATGCCAATAAAACATATTCTGTCTTTTGAATTCATGCAAATTTATAGAAAACTTTTCAATCTTTAATGCATTTGGTGTAACAGGAAGAACACTAAAATGAACTATGGGGCCATTTTTATATCAGCATTAATTTGGGAGGTGGAGGACATGTTGAGTGGGGGACACAGAAGGTGAATCTGGCCCTGAATTATCCTTTAAAAACAAGCCAGAACCATTCCTCCCTTAGCTCAAAGCCCCAGTGATTTCCCATCTCACTTGGAGCTAAAGTTAAAGTTTCCCTGCCCTTAAGATTTGAATCTCTGGGCTGAGGAGATAGCTTGCAGAAGTCCCAGTGGTTGTGTGACCTGCACCCCTTGTCACATCACACTTGGGAGTCTGGAGTTCCCCTTGAAGGAGGAGTCAGTGGGTTTCCTTGGAAAACAGAAGAGCAAATGTTGATGACAATGACCAACTGCTAGGATGAGGGGCCAATGGGCATTGAGCAAAACTCACCCGACTCTCGGCGGATCTGTTGGCAGGGAAGAAAGCCCACTAACATGAATAGGAGTCGAGTGTCTTCCGTGTCCACTGGCATGGTGGGAGGTGAAGAGAGATGGCTCTAGACAGCTCCACTCTGGTGTTTTCAGACCTCCCCTAAGAAATCTGGCCCCTTCCCTGAGGTGGGAAGGGCTTGCTAGAGTTTGAGAAAAGATGGCTCCCATCAGAAAGCAAGTGAGGAGAGTTTAGTGAGGGCCTGTTTGTAAATATGTGGGTCCGTTCACTTCTTCATTCTCTTTTAGAGGGATTAGAGCCGACAGCCAGGCCTGGCTCCCAAGCCGGAAGCAGTTTACCTCTCTGTGTCAGTCTCCTTAACTCTGCCCACACATTGGATTCCGATGTGATTTCACAGAGGACCAGGAGGCAGGAGGAGTGTGGGGTATTTATCCTCCTCATTTTTTGCAGGTGTCAGTATGTGAAATCGCATGGGAGTCAGATGGAAGCCCTAGAGTGAGGGAAACCCTTGATTTGGTCTGTAAAGTTTGGCTCCTTGGGCAGCGGACTGAAGAAGGAGGGAGAGTAGATCAAAAGAGGCAAGTGGATAAGGAGGCCCACTCAGCGGAAGCTGGTTGTGAGAGTGGTGAGGTGTGCTGGGTGTCACAAGGGCTTTCCCAGGGTGAAAGCTGTGTGCTTCTTGATCCAGAGCATTTGGGAGAGACAAGGACCATGGTAGTGAGAAGGGCTGTGGGATTCGTCGGTGAAGTAAAATCAAAGGAGATAGCATGAAAGGTGACCTTGGAAGAGGTTATTTCTCTAATGCACTTGGCAGAGAGAGTGCTGAAAATCAGGTCTAACACCTCTCTGGGAGAGCAGCCCCAGTGTAACAGGTGCCTCTACTACCTTGAAAACCCCCCACATTTAACTTCCCCTAACGGGAGGAAGGGGACAGAGAGACCCGGTGTGGGACAAGGGGACAACACTGGATGTACCAGAGGTACTTGAGATCTCCCTGTAGAAGGGACTTCTTGATCCCCTTGTTATAGAGGAGCAGACTGCTTGCTTGGAGACCTTGTGGGGCTGACATCCGAGGAGGCTGATGTTCACCCTTCTTAGATACTGCCCGCAACCCCCTATGATCTAGATGAATAACCAGAGCCGAGTCTTGGGATCATTCGTTGGGGGAAGATTTTCTGTGTAGCGGAAAGAAAGAGGCTTTTCACTAAAGGAGCTCTTTGGCTTGATGCAGACGGGGAGAAACTGGTAGAATGCACTTGCCTGGGGCCCAAGTTGGGCGCATTGGAGTGGGAGGAATGGAGGAGAACGGCAGGTTGCATTCCTCCCTGCACTGGGCTTGCAGGCATGCACCACCACACTTGGACTAGGCCTCAGCTCATCATGCCCCAGGGGCGGGGCCAGCATGGCATGCAGGACCGGGATTGAACCCGGGTCCCTGTGCTTGTCAAAGCAGATGCTTTAGTCCGCTGAGCTATCTCACCAGCCCTGGCCTATGGTCTTATTTAAACCCCATGTTGTGGAACAAGTCCCAGATGCAAGTCACATCTACCATGTTATGGAGGATGAAGCCCGAAAGCCCAGAGAGGTCAATGACTGGCCTGAGGTAAGATAGCCAATAAGCAGCATGTGCCTGTTTCTCTGTTTCAGGACCAAACCTTTCCTTCTAGAACATGTTGCTTTCTGGAATGCTGCTTCCACATTCTTTCTGCTTGGAGAGCTCTTTGAGTTCATAAATGTCCGATGGTCTCTCAGAACTCAGCATTTTCTGTCCTTCCTGGGGGGTGGCTTCGTCGCGCTATTGTGTGGAGAAGGGAAATTTTTCTCTGGTTTCGCATATAAGGTCTAGGAAGCTAATGTTTTGCTGTAACTCAGTTCAAATTTCACAAAAGAGGGACAGAGGAAGAAAAGAAACAGAGCCTCGAGGAGTGATTCACAGAGATTGCTGCAGAGATGAAGGCCATGGGCTCTGAATTTGATTCGGAGGCCGTGCGGGAATTGGAGTCCTGGGGCGGAGGTACAGTGCCTTTTAGCGCATCTCTAGAGAAACTGCTCACCCTGGAAATATGCTTATTTTGTAGGTGATGAAAGGTAAGGGGGTGGGGAGGAGAATTTCCTGGATTTTTTGGTGAGAGATCATGTTTTGATTGGAGAACAAAAATTCTCATATCTCGTTCTACTTCAGGCTTTATTAGTGATTCCTCCTGGCCTTCTCTCATTGGCTAAAAAGCAAATGAGTTGCTAGGAGGGAGCCGCATTTTCCTGTTGTGGCCCCATGGACTTTCAAATCAGTGCAATTTAATGTCATAACATCATTTCATAGATAAACAAATGAGCTGCATCTAATGCACAGCAATGTCACAACGATAAAACAAATTATGTCATTGTTTTCATGAGGACTGCTTGTTGTTTTCATTTAAGAGAGTTTTTCTGCCAGGCATGGTATCACACACCTGTAATCTGAGCACTCTGGGAGGCTGGAGCAGGAGGCAGAGGAAGAGAGGGGAAGGGGGGAGGGGGGAGAGAGAAAGGGAAAGAGAAAGAGAGAGAGAGAGAGAGAGAGAGAGAGAGAGAGAGAGAGAGAGAGATTTAGATTTCTTTAATATAGTTCACCTGGGCTGGGGATATAGCTCAGCAGCACAAGCACCTGCCTTGCAAGCACGAGGTCCTGAGTTTGATCCCTGGT